AGATTTGATAGATGAAGAATGCTGGAGTTTCAAGGTGTGCCATCATGTATTCCTGAAACCTTTATCAATATGACTGGCACAGGATGTAAGAACATTCAGGATGTAAGAATATCTGTGCACACAAGGACATAGGCTATGTTTTCTATTGACTCCATTGCCGCTGATAATAGTCAGAATGTATTACGAATGTCAGTCATTTTCTCATGTCACTCTCCTCTAAGCAAACATTCAGTGACATCATACATACTTATTATTGCAAAATAGTCTGGTATGCCTCAAATACAACAGTCCACGGAGATACATCACAGTAAAGACTTGCAGAGCATTAAGCCCTCAAACCATGCACATACCCACGTAGAAAAGGCCATGGGTTACCAAAGACCCTGCACAATTCCTGCTTGCTATTTTTGTTTTGCTGCTTTGTTCTTGTTAATAGACATCTCATCACATCTCTTGGTATTTTGTTTCCCGAATATTTGTTTAAAACTATAGCGTAGGGAAAAAAAAAAATTGCCCACTTCCTCCTCTTGCCACCCTTAATATGCAATCACTTTAGTTTTGGTTTAAAGCTTTAGTTTAAAGCTCAAAATGTTAAATATTATATACAAAATAAATATTCCAGCCTTGGAGATATTTTTCAACTTTTGGTTTGTATATTACATAGTTACATAGTGATATGTGTTGAAAAAGGAACAAGTCCATCATGTTTAATCTTTAACACATCCATGAAATGTGAAATGAAATAGAGACAAATTAATTACTTGCAGTCCTTAATGTCCCTTTAATGATCTTCCCTAATGTATCTACTGTTCTGCTCTTTGCTGTGCCTTTCTGCAATTTGCAAAGCCCAGCAGCACAGCATGAAGTCATTGTAAGAAAACAGAACTTTACCATATAGGAGAAGGGAACAGCACAATGTCAATTGATAAGAAAATTGAAAACTGAACTTCAATATTTATAGATTTTCCTGTAAGTTAAAAAAAAAACATTGTAAAGTGACAGTATATTAATAGTTGAATAGACTTATTATATATATTTTTTTTACTACAATACCAAAACTAAAGCTCGATGGGCTCTACAAAATTAAGCTTTGTCTACAACCACATTTCAAATTTAAGAACATTTACAGAAATAATGAGCACTTAAAGAGTAATTCATGTATCCTTTCAGCAACATGAATTTCAATGTTTTGCCCCAGCTATTTCATGAGCTAAGTGCAATAAAAAGGTGAAAAACAATAAATAAATAAATAATCAAAACATACACTATTTTCTGAGACACCAATAAGCATGCAGTCTAGTGAGTAATTATAGGAAAGGAATAATGAGAAGGTAATATTTTTTTTTAAAGGACCACTATAGTGCCAGGAAAACATACACGTTTTCCTGGCACTATAATGCCCTGAGGGTGCCCCCACCATCAGGGTCCCCCTCCCGCTGGGCTGGATGGAGAGGAAGGGGTTAAACTTACCTCTTTCTCCAGCGCCGGGCGGGAAGCTCTCCTCCTCTTCTCCTCCCTCTTCTCCTCCTCTTTGGCTGAATGCGCATTTGCGGCAGGAACCGCGCGCGCATTCAGCCAGTCCATAGGAAAGCATTCACAATGCTTTCCTATGGACGCTGGCGTCTTCTCACTGTGATTTTCACAGTGAGAAACGCGGAAGCCCTCTAGCGGCTGTCAATGACACGGAAGCCCTCTAGAGGCTGGATTAATGCTAATATAAACATAGCAGTTTCTCTGAAACTGCTATGTTTATAGAAAAAAGGGTGAACCCTAGATGGACCAGGCACCCAGACCACCTCATTAAGCTGAAGTGGTCTGGGTGCCTATAGTGGTCCTTTAAAGTCCTTCATAAAGTTAAAGAAACACTATAGTATTAGAAGTACAAACATGTATTCCTATAGTGCTGGAGTACCCATTGGCTGCCCAGTCCTCCTCAGATTGGCAATACAAGATATTAAAAGCATCTAAATGTACAATAAAATTGCTGTGTTCGTCTGTTTTGCCGTTTGTATGAATTTCCCCATTCGTATGCCTTGTTTAAGGGAATGTCTTTTTTTTGTCGAACGGAACTACCGAACGGACGGCCACCCAGAAGAGAAGTGTGCTGCTGGTTAACCTTTTGATCCCAATTAGAACGTTGCGGTTAACCACAGACACTTCTCAATTAAAACGGAATACAGGGTGGTCGTCGTTTGTATGTCGACCACGAGGAGGCGGCCATTTTAACTATGCGAAAGCCCAGCGGTGTTCGACGGTTATTCCATGGAACTAAAAACGGACACTTTTTCAATCGAACATCGCTGAAGCCGTCGACCTCCCCTTCTCAATCGACAAAAGTATACGAATACCGGCCGTTCGAGAGATTTAAAGGCACGAATGGACTTACCCCAGATAGCCTTACCATGGAGTCAATCGCATACCGAAGAACTGTAATAGACTTTGACTCCATGGCGATTGAACTATGAGTATGGGATCTGAGCGCTATTCGTCAGTAATATGCACTCAGATCCAGGCTATCTGGGGATGTGTTATACGAATGCAATACGTTCGGCAGTTATAAAGTTATGTATTTTAATGTGTTTTGTAACTTTGATTTAAAATGGCGATTTGCCTCTGCTCTGGGAGATAATTGAATTACTTCTCAATTATCTCCCGAGCATAGGGGAGGAAACTGTGATGCATGCTGGGAATATTGTGGGGATGTATGTCTGAAATGTCCCCATGTCCTTCTGTTATTCCAGTCTCCCATTTGGTCCACTAGGGGAGTGTCCACCAAGTGGGAGACCTGCATAAATACGGGCAGGTAGCCCACAGTAAACTCAGTTCGTGTTTTACCCTCAAAGCGGAGCTTGGTCTCGTTATTGGGGAGATTTTATTACCGGCGACTAGAGACTGCTTATTGGGATTTTTTGCCGCTTGGAAACTATTGCCGTTCGGCTGCTATTGGCGATTCGTGCATTTGGAGCTCGTGAAGGGAAGGAGCCGTACAGGTACCGTTCGGGAGTTTGGAGTGTTCCCTGGCTGGCGGTTCGCATGGTTATACTGCATACGCTACCAGACCACATTATTGCGAACGGGGAGCATTCACTAAACGGCGGTTTGTACATTTATTACTGGAGGTACCGTAACAATGAGATATAAAGATAAAGATATAAAGGTCTTACATTCATTAAATTATTGTGTTTCTGATGGCTAATGATCAATGGCTACATTTCTCACAAAAATAGAACTAATGTTAATTATGCAAGTAAATGAGGGAATTTATGTCTACTTTATACAATAATGAACCCTGACAAGATAAAAATAACCCCAACAAAGCAATTTAAATATATATGAATATAACAGATGTATATTAAACCAATCATTGTATTTCACATATGCACAAAAAATAACATAAATATTTATATCTTAGGTCTATGATTTAACCCCTTTAGACCGGAGGGCGTACTATTACGCCCTATTATAGGCGGCTCTAAATGCCGCCGGGTGTAATAGTATGCCCTCCGGTCTTTCGGTACTTACCCGGTCGCCGGCGGTCCCACTCCGGCGATCGCGGTGGGGGGGACTCCCAGGGAGCCCCCCGCGGCACGTCTGTCCTCCACGAAGCCCCCCGGCCGTGTGAGAGTGGGGTCCTTGCGAGGACCCCACAATCACATGGCCGGGGACAGCCCCCCTTCTGTATTGCCAGCAGGGGGGCTGCCTGTAATGACAGGTGGTCCCCCTGCCGGCTGAAAATAAAATTAAAATGAGTTAAAAGTGTAAAAAAATAAATAATATATACTTAGATCATATATATATTATATATATATATATGATCTAAGTATATATATACACATATACATACACACATGTACACCGTCTAGGTGTATTTTACTATTAATATATATATAATTATATATATATTAATATCAAATTACACATAGACTGATACTGATTAAATATATATATAATTATTGTTATATATATATTTATATATAATATAAAAAAAATAAAAATGTAAATATGTTAAAAAATAAAATTAAAAAAATAATTAAAAATAAATAATTAAAAAATATTTAGATGTGTGTTATTTTGTTCTAACTGTATTGTGAAATTAATATATATATATATATATATATATCAAAATACACGTAGAACGAAATAATATATATATCTATATACATAAATATATACGTATATATCACTATATATATACCTATATATAAATAAAAATATTTTTAAAAAATTATATAGATATATACATATATATACATACGTATATATATACATATATTAATTCTACATATATATTTATGTAATATTTTTACATAATTAGGTATCTTAATTAATTACAATTAGCAGGACCTGCCTGACAGCCCATGCCGAAAGTAAAGGGAATTTAATTTGCTAGCACTATATTTAACCCTATAACTTTCCCAGACACCATAAAACCTGTACATGGGGGGTACTGTTCTACTCGAGAGACTTCGCTGAACACAAATATTAGTGTTTCAAAACAGTAAAATGTATTACAACGATGATATCGCCAGTAAAAGTGAAGTTTTTTGCATTTTTCACGCACAAACAGCATTACACGGACAATATTATTGCTGTGATACTTTTTACTGTTTTGAAACACAAATATTTGTGTTCAGCGAAGTCTCCCGAGTACAACAGTACCCCTCATGTACAGGTTTTATGGTGTTTTCAAAAGTTACAGCGTCAAATATAAGGCTTGCGTTTCATTTTTTTCACATTAAAATTCGCCAGATTGGTTACGTTGCCTTTGAGACCCTATGGTAGCCCAAGAATGAAAATTACCCCTATGATGGCATACCATTTGCAATAGTAGACAACCCAAGGTATTGCAAACAGGGTATGTCCAGTCTTTTTTAGTAGCCACTTAGTTACAAACACTGGCCAAAATTGGCGTTTTTTGCATTTTTCACACACAAACAAATACTAACGCTAACTTTGGCCAGTGTTTGTGACCAAATGGCTACTAAAAAAGACTGGACATACCCCATTTGCAATACCTTGGGTTGTCTACTATTGCAAATGGTATGCCATTATGGGTGTAAATTTCATTCCCGGGCTACTATACAGTCTCAAAGGCAACGTAACCAATCTGGCGAATTTCAATTTCAAATGTAACGTGGTATATTTGACCCTGTAACTTCCCAAAACGCCATAAAACCTGTACATAGGGGGTACTGTCTTACACGTGAGACTTTACTAAATACAAATATGTGTATTTTATTGCAGTAAAAGCAAACAGTATTATGACACTGACCTTTTAAAATGTCATTTAGAACTAAAAAAAATAAACAAAATCATATTTTCTCCCATTTTTTTCATATAAAATTATGTTTCATAGCTAAATATTTGATATTAAATGAAAGCCCTGTTTCCCCTGAATAAAATGATATATAATAAGGGTGGGTGCATTTACTATAAAAGAGGTGAATTATGGTTGGACAGACATGTAGCGCAAATGCCAGGTTTTGTTTACATTTTGTTTTGTTCACAACGTGTACATTTGGCTCCGTCCTTAAGGGGTTAAATTATAATTAGTTATAGTATTTTCAAATGGGTAAACATTAATTGACATAACATAAACACAGAGGGATTCAT